GCCCACACCCATCGCCTCACCCACACCCACCCTTTGCTTTCTTCCATCTACACATGCACACCAGTGAATGTTTATGTCGACACTTATTATTTTAATGTGGGCATGGTGAGGCGATGTCGAGATTGTTTTTTTCTCTTTGAAGCTTCTTCAGCAGTACCTGTGGGACACAGAAGGAGAGAAAGAAAAATTTATTGCCTTCTGTTGTCGCGTGTAGTCAAAATTATACAAGTAACTTTCTCGATGTACACCATATTGTGATCGTTTTCTGCACTCACTAGAATTGGTAAGCGTTTACTGTTGTTAATGTTGAAAATAAGCACAGTATATTACTTCTCAAGAACAGCGTTTCTAAAAGCAGGTGTACCACGCATGAATAAAATGTACAGATCACGTACTGCGGCCAATATACATGCTGCTTTATAGTTTAATAAGAAACCTTACCTGAGCAGAGTGTGAGTGTGGGTGTGGGTATCGATCAAGAGAAGGTTAACACACACACCCCACACCCACACCCATACCCAGCATGTGATCTGTACACCTTTTTATGCTTGGTACGTTTGCTGTTAGAAACGCTGATGAAGAACAGTTAGACTTTATATATAATGTAGATGAAAGATCTAGTTCAACAGAGTTGACTTTTTCCTGTCAAATTGAAACAAGCAGTTAGGATTGAAATTTATATCGCCCATTAGACTCCATTAGTTTCAATCGTCTTTTCTTTGTTAATTACATAACAGCAAAAAATTCAAAAAAAACTTAATTGCTACCTTAAGGGATTCTCCTTTCCGGCACTTTTCGAGAACGGCTCTTCAGAAATCCTTGAAACTTTCCGAACTGGTAGATCTCCGTGAGTATAGCAGAAGTTGTCATAGACTTAGAATTTCCAAATGCTTCCTTGGAGGAGATATCGGGGTCAGAAAGCCGAAAAATGACTTCTCTTATCGCTCCCTTTCTCAGCCATAACAAGTCTGGTAGAGCTGAAAATTTTTTACAGACATTAGACACTGTTTGGGGGGCCTACTGTTTTTTGTTTCCTTTTATCTCCTTCTATTCGAGTAAAAAGTGCCAAAATTTTGAGCATCCTCAAAAATCTTCAAAAATCATGTTTTTTCGGAATAGTGCTAGTTTTGTAGACCCCGCCAAAAACCAACGGTACATCATTTTTTGAAACAAAAAAAGGCACCCCAAACACTTTCTATTATCAGTAGAAAAAAGTCCCAGCTCCATCGGACATACTACGCCTGAGAAAAGGAGGCGCTTCTCCAGATGTTTGCTTAAAAATCAGTGTTTTGGAAAACGATGACAATGAAAAAATCGTGCTATACCTCTACAGCAATCGACTTATCTTTTCGATGGTTTGTTTTTACTTTAATACTATGTTTGAATTCTGAAAATGCCATCAATAGATAGAGGGCACTTCAGATCATATGTAGAGCAGAAAAACCAAAAAGTGAAAAATATGAAAATTTTGGATCTGGAAAAGGATTCCCTTAAGAATAAGCAACCATGACCGGTTTCGACCTTGCTTAAGGGTCTCATCAGATGACTTTATTCAAAGTCATCATCATAAAATGACAGTGAAATTGCAACCAACCCCATGTAATAGAGGAGATACAGTATTAAAATTGTATGGTGATGAATTTGAACAAAGTAATCTGATGAGACCCTTAAGCAAGGTTGAAACCGGTCATGGCTGCTTATTCTAAATCTAATATCAATTAAATGCGTAATTAAATTTAGTCTCCAATGTTCAATATGACGTTGTAAGTTAAAAAAATAAATTTGAATACGTACTAATATTTACCGGAAAATCAGACTGTTATTGTTTTATGTTTCGGACTGTTATGCTTATTAATTTTAGGTGAAAGCAACTTTGACAAGGTAATCATAGGCTCATCCAAATATTTTGTTTTATATATTACATACGTTGTACATATTGGTGATTCTAATTCCTGACATAATCAATTAATGTCACGACATATGATCGAGAACTCCATTATTGTTCAACTTAATTCTGACATCAATAAAATTAAGGCTATATTGAAATGGCATGATGATATATGCAAAATTGCTACAACGACTGAAGTATTTACTAATCCAGATACTTGTTTAGACTTCGTAAGCGATATAAAAACGGAAAAAGTCTTTTTAATTATTAGTGGATCTGATTTGGAACATGTTATATCGATACTAGTCAACTTTCCTCAAGTGCATACAATTTATATTTTAGAATCAGATTTCAATGAATCGTCATCAACAAGAGATCATCGAAAAATGAAATTTTTTATTAAAATGGAACATCTAATCGAACAGTTAATGGTCGATGTCAAACGAACCAATCATAATCTTATCAGTTTCGAAGTAACAAGTGCTAATGCTAATCTAACGACATTAAAAGATACCAATAATAAACAAGAAGCAGCATTTATGTTCGGTCAATTATTAAAAGAAATTTTTATTGGTATGACTGATGTCGATCGGTCAGATATGATCGAGTATTGTCGAATGAAATATTCTAACAGTCCATATCAACTCGAGCTTATAGATCGGTTTCAACATGACTATGAGCGTCATTCTCCGATCTGGTGGTATTCGCTCGATTCTTTTCTCTATCGTATGTTAAATAAAGCATTACGTATTCAAGATATATCAACATTATATGCATTGCGTACATTCATACGTGATTTACACTGTCAACTTCTTGAACTACACAAGGCAAACAATGAAAGAGAACCATTCATATTATATAGAGGTCAGCAAATGGCAACGTCTGATTTCAATAAATTGCGTGCGAGTGAAGGTGGTCTACTTTCAATCAACAGCTTTTTGTCGACAAGTAAAAATGAAAATGTGGCATTAGTTTATGCAGGAAATACAAATATTGACGTTAATGAAACGGCAACACTTTTTCGAATAATCATTACCTCAGTACAACGTTCTAATGTTCCAATTGCTAGAGTCGCTGCACTTAGTCAATTTGACGAAGAAAATGAATATCTATTCTCAATGGGTAGCGTCTTCAGAATACAGAAATTGGAAAGTCTATCGAATGGAATTGAATGTATTCATTTGCAACTGACAAGTGATCATGATCCACAACTTTCACATATGACCAGTTATCTACGACAAAAATTCCATGGACGATATGATCTGACAAGTCTTGGTCGGTTAATGTGGGAAATAGGCAATTTGAAGAAGGCAGAAGAATTCTATTTACTTGCTATGGAAAAAGAAACAGTACCAATGAATATTGCATCATTGCATAATCAGATGGGAGTTATCTATGATGATATTGGAAATCATTTACAAGCTCTTGAACATTACGAAAAAGCTCTTACTATGAAACAATCATATTTGCCATCAGACGACCCATCATTCGCAGCACTACTGAGTAATATAGGTTTGAATTATCAGAATCTCGGAAACAAAAATCGTGCTCTAACATATCTGAAACAGGCGCTTGCTATCGCAGGAAAGATGTCTAAACCAAATCCAGAGATACTTGGAAGTATTCATAACAATATTGCCGGTATTCTCGATGAGCAAGGTCAATATGATGAAGCTTTACAGCATTATCGCGAAGGACTTCAGCATAGACTTGCTTACCTTCCTAGTACGCATCCTGATATTGCTGTATCATATAGTGATATTGGATTCTTGTATATTGAACAAGAACATTATGAAGAAGCTTTATCAACGCTTAAAAAATGTTTGGAAATTCAACAAAATTCATTGCCTCCTGATCATCCATCACTGGTTGTTACTTACAATCACATGACTTTAGGTCTTTCAAAACTTGAACGCTATGAAGAAGCATTTGAAATTGGTACCAAAGCGCTTGATATCGCAATTCGAACATTAGGTGATGAGCATGAGCAGACACAGTGTCTACAAGCAATGCTTGAAATGATTTCGAATGAATTATAGTTTCAGCGGTGTCAAAAAAAAACAGTAAAGGATCATATTCAGCCAAATCTGTAAATTAACTTCAAATTTTCTGAAGAATATTCAGACATTTTTGCACTTATTGATTTTTCAAGGACACTGTAGAATAAAGTCATAATTCCGCCATCTCCTCCGTTTTCATTTTCAATATTATAGAAAGATAGAGCTTGAGGGTGCGGGTGTGGTTAAAGAAAATGCCCACATCCACATCCTCAGCCATACCCACACCCTCACACACCCACGCCGACACCCGCACTCACACCCACGCCCACACCCACACCCCACACCCGCGCCATCACCACGCTTAAGTTTTTTTTCTACAGCACAGCCGCCAGAATATGAGTCATATTTTACATTAGAGCACAGGTAGTGCACGTCTCTGATTTCAACGGCAATGTATCTCGCCAGACTCATGTTTACATTTTTCGTCTAGACGCAACTTTCTTCTGTCAACTGGCTGCCTGCATTGCCAAAACTAACTTTCCAATAAGCTATCCGATGGCATTTTTGAAAAGCAATGCGCCCGAACATGTTTCTGAAAACTCAACATTTTGATATGCGTCCATAATAATGAATGAGAATGCATGCCAACACATTTGGAATGAAAATTTAAATCTATGTTCACAAGCAATTAACGTTCTCTAAACTCATTCAAGAAAAACGATAGTGAATACATTCAACTGCGTTTTATTATGCTTCAACGAGAAAAATGCGTCAGAATACCGACATTTGTAACAAAAACGCATCCAGATACGTCTAAAATGCATTTGATGATTACATGGGTGCAGATCAGGTCTCCTAATGATCAGCTTGAGCAGCAGTGAAATGCGGCGTGATAGTTCTTACTCCTCCTATCACATGTTGTTGTGTAAAACAAGTTTATTTATGAGGTGAAAAAGTAGACACATATTGGATTTAAGCATCAAATATTACGCGAAAGACAAAATATATGAAAAAACATTAAAAAAAAACAACATAATATAATATAGTTCAGAAATATATAAGTTGACATAGACAACAACAAAAAAACCATTAGGGAATATGTGTAACAAAAAGAAAGAAGGGAAAAGAAAATATATGGATAAAACATGTAACATAACTCTGTCCTTGATTCACCCCCACCATCATCATAATATATATCTTGGCTCTCATTCCAAACATTTTGCTCAAAGTGAAGAATTCGACTGCATTATCATAGAAGGAACCAATGCTTTTCTTTTAAACGAAGATTTGACATCGTTGACGAGTTTTATCATGTACTATCTATCCGATAGTTTATCGTTATATTACTAATAGAATAAATTCGTTCAATATTAATGCTTATGCAGGAATACACATTCTTGCATTCAATCACAAAAAGACTGTTAAATTTGTCCAGCAATGAAATTTATTTTAGCATGCAGCTGTGAATGCGCTCGACATAGCCAATCATTCTTGGGTATTATACCATTCTATTATCTTGGTTCGTAAGGACTTTTTCTTTTCTTGTTCCTTAATGTTGGTTGTGGTGTAAGTAAATACACATCAATGGAATAATGAATACGTGGATGAAATCTTTGTAAGATTATTCGAGTCATTAATGCTGATTGATTTTAATTGGTCCATGTTGTAGTTGAAGCAGCTTTTAACATCAAAGTTAACGTGTGGTATTTGGTTGCTCTGCTGTGATAAGATGTTACAACACACAGGTGGAAAGTAAATCCATAGAGCTGTGATTAATTTCTATTGATTTATTTATATCCATTGTTTCGTCAATATCAACTTATTGATTTGGTGAATGAGAGAGAGATACAGAACAGAGGTCACATCAAGTAACCATCCTTGAAATCAAAGAAAGTATGATTGATACAGAAAATGAAAGAATGAATACAGATACTATGAGTAAAGTATATACAAAAATCTATCATACAAATAAGAAATACTGCCTAAATCAAAGCTCTAGATTAGAATATCACACAACGTGATGAGACAAAAAAACGAATACAAGAAAAAGAATAACTTAGAAAATACATAGAATATATTCACAACATGTAGAAGATAATGAGTACTTCTACTTTTCAGTAATGTTTTTTTTAACTCTTCAATCACATACTACAAATTCTCGAGAGAGAGAAAATCGAGATGAACAATCATATGCTTGATTTTAACCAAAGCAGAAACAAAAACAATAGACATGACTATACTTACAGATTTTAAACTTACTTTTACTTTTTGTTTTAAATTCATCAGGAGTACCACGATCAAATAATTGATGAGAAGATTATTGGAAAAACCAGCGAAAGATTTTTGACACTGATGCCCAATCCAATACTGTATTTATATATATAGTAGGTGTTTTCCAAGACAGTCATATATGAATATAATGAAAAAAATTTTTAATACTATTTACTATTAAATTACGAAGAAAAATTAATATTTTATTGACTTTTATTTCCGAGTAGTGGTTTTTTTCGGATACAATCTTATTGTTTTACCACTATCTAAACTTTGAACAAAAGCATTAGCCAGTTTTCTTTTACTATAATGATAAACAGTATTAGGCTCGGGTGGTTTTTCCAATAAGACGTGTCCTATAGTAGTAGATTCTACTCCGCTACGTTTATGACGATATTTTTTTCCACCAATTTGTATTTGATAATTTAAATCACTACCTGGAGCTGATCCCTGATCATCGAGACGTAAATGATCTGTTTCATGTATGGTATGTCCTCTAGTTTCTTGAAACCTAACTTCCACTAATTTACACTCATCTTGCCCTGATAACAATTTCTTAGTCTTTGGGATCAATTTATTTTTTGCTTCTTTTTCTAGACTTCTGTTACCAATAATATCTACAAGTTTCTGTTGTTGTTTAACATGTGCAACTTTTCCTTCATGACTTGTCGATTCAGGATTAGTAATATGAATGTGTTTCTCCTGTTGTGCACCACCTAGCATATGACTCTGTCCAAGAAAATCTATTTGTTTTCTGTATCTAATATAATTGTATGAACGTCGAGCAGTATATTGATGCAATTCTTCTCGTCCTTGCTGTATCATACTTTCATTTACTTTTCGTCCAAGTGATTCATGATAAGCTATTAACAAACAATCTTTACGTCCATTCATTTGTATATATGTTTCTTTACCTCTAGCAGTATAATAATGTCCAACATCCCCATTTTTATCTACTTTATACTTAATTTCAGCTGTTTGTTTAAAAAAGGCAGGTATTCTTCTTAGTCCAGAGGGTCTTATCATTTCTTTTTCATCAGTATTAACGTTATAAACAATTATATTTCTTGCTTTACTGTTTGCTAACATTTGGATATCAGCTCGATCTAAAGCTCTATCTTTATCTTGAACTTTTTTTAAGTAATCTTCAGACAAGTCTTTTGGATTCTTAATATTATTTTGTAGATCTTCTCTTTTAGTCTGATCTTCTTTTTCGTTCTTTATTTTTAGTTCAGTTAATGGTTGTTCAACAGAAACTTGACTTTTTCCATCAGTTTTTTTATTCTGATTCAACTGTTCTAATGTATCAACTGGATTTTTTCCTTTAAACTCTGATTTAATCATTTCTTTTGCAGTTTGTGCAATTGCTTTACCAATCTGTTTTAACGTTCCATTAATAATTTGTCTTAAAATTTTATCTAATTCTTTTGTTAATTTAGTTGATATATATCCTTTAATGATATTATTTAACTGTTCTGCTCTTGCTCGAACAAGTGTATAATTTATATTTTCTTTATTAGTATTTTCATCTATTTTTTTTGTAGCACCTTCAATAATACTTATAAAAGTATTGTAAGCATGATGAAATTGTAAAACAGGTTGAAGTATATTCCATATCTGATTAATCATAAATATTGCTTGAATAGCAGTAGCAGCTATTTTAGCATATTTCGAATTAGATTTCTTCAAACCATTAGAAAGTACCTGATAACTATTTTTTAAAGAAGATATAACTTGTACTCGAATATTATCAAATTGTTGTGGTAATATAAGATTTCTTCCTAATGCTCCTTCAATATCTTTTTTCATTATTTCAAAAGTTTTTTCAAATTCTTCTTCATTTTTACTATTAGCATAAAGGATTTCTATTTTATTCTCAAGTAAATTAATTACTTTTTTTAAGAAATTTTCTTCTATAATATTGACAACTTTTTGTATAACACCTTCTTGAATCTGTTCCATAATTTTCTCTGTTATAATATTCGTTAAACATGTAGTTGCAAATTGACCTGCTGCTTTTCCAACTAATTTCGTCATCATTGCTGTTCTAGATACTGAACCTAATTTAGCGGCAGTATTTCCTACAGATGCTAATCTTCCAATTCCAGCAGTCATTATAGAAATACTAAAGCTAATTGATTTTTGTATTGCCCAATCTTTCCAACTAAATTTACCTGATAGACCTGCCATAGTAGCATAAATCATATCAGAAATACCTTCACTAAGTAAAGCTCCACCTATATTAACAAGACCAAATGATATTAAAACAGCTCCTCCAATGACTTGAGCAAGTCCAATCATTGCAACTGCAAAAGCATTCCAGTCCCACCAAGATTTATTTTCTTCAATAATTAAAAATTTATTTAAACCAATTTCTTCAAAAAATTTTAATTCACTAGGAACTATTTCTTGATCTTGAAGTTCAATAAAATCTTTTAAATTTGCTTTTAAATCATCTTTATATGAACGAATATCTCCTTGTAAACGTAAGATTTTTGATTGAATTAATTCTTTATCATTTTTAAATTGACTATTTTCTAAAATTTTATCTAAGATTTTCTCAATATTTTGACGAATATCTCCATATTTTTGTTTAGCAAGTCCACCTGATTTTAAAATATTTTTTTCTTTTAAATAAATACGAATTTTATTTCCTTCTTCTTCTTTTGTAGAAAAAGGTAAATCTGATTGATATAAATATTCACTACTTTGACGAATATTATCTATTAATTCTTTTAAAAATGTTTTAAGATCTTTTGTTTCATGACCATTATCATTAAATTTTATTTTTGAATATTTACCTTTGAAACTTAAAGAATTAAGATCTAATTCTTCAATTTTAACTCGTTTAGTTCGAATTAATATTTGTTTTTCTTTCAAATAAATTTTAAATTTTTTCTTTTCTAAAGAATCTTCAAATAAAGATTCTTTAACGTCTTGTACATCTATGTGTTTTTCTAAATCTTTCCAAATATTTTCATATTTTTCTGGTAATTCTTTTTCTATTCTATGTTTATCTAATATAAAAATATTTTCAAAATTTTTAATATTTAATAATTCCCATAATTGTTCATTATAACAAACAATATCTTCAAAATCTTTCTTTTCATATTGATTTTTTCTATTTAATAAATTAATTACTTCATCTGCAATCGAAGGATCAAGATTATCTCGAATATTTTTTTCCATTTTAGTTCGTTCTTCAGCATTATTTCGAAATATTTTTCTTATTCGATCTCGTTGAATAAGTTCACCTTGAACTAAAAGATTATATAATTTTTCTCCTTGTTCATAATCTTCATTTGTTAGATTTTGTGTATCTTTTGGATGTAAAATAAAATCAAAAGGTTCTACTGTTTCTCCTACGGCTTGATATAAATAATGTAACTGTAATCCAATAACCTCTAATTTTCCACTAATCTGATCTTGATAAAAATTTTCTTTTGAAGAAACTTTTTTTAAAATATCAGCAGTAGCTGATTGAGGAAGAAGTTCGGCAATTTTAAGATTAGACATTAAATTTCTTTTGATTGCTTCTAAAGAATATATGGCTTTCTTTAATTCTCTTCTGGATTCTTTTTTAATATTTTTTCCATTTTTTAAATTAATAATACAATATACAAATGCTATGTGTGAAAAACCTGAAATATCTTCATATAAAATTCCTTTTTCAAAACATAGTTTAGCCATTGAAATTTCATTTTCTGAAAGACAAATTTTTCCAATATGAATAGCTTCTTCTGGTTGACTAATAATTTTCGTTAATAAATCATTAAAAGATGATTTTTCTAAAAGATTTGTTAATTTATTAATAAATGAATAATCAAATTCTTTTAAAAGATTAAATTTTTGTTGAAAAGTTTCAATTGCATCAATTTTTTCTTTAGCTTCATCTAACCAAAATGCCCAACGATTTTTTAAAATATTTTCGAAAGCTTCAATAAATTTTTTACGAGATTTTTCTGATCTATTATTAAATAATGGTTCGAAAATTTCTTTAGCAATTTTTTTCTTAAATTCATTAAATTTTTCAAATAATTCTTCTTCAATTTCAAGATGAAGAATATTTTTTTGTTTTAATTCTGATAATCGAGCTGCTTCTTTATTATCTCGACTAATCTTTTCTCTTTCAATAATCACATCAGATAATGTTTCTAATTTCATTTTTCTTTGACTATGAGTCAATTGATTCAATTCATAAATATCTTCATAAGTCGATTTGTCTACTAATAAAATATATTGTCCAGTACCTTGTGCACCATTTCTAGCTGTTCGACCGAATGCTTGTTCTTCGATTCGAACATTTTCTGGTAAATAAGTTAAAATAACATGCATTCCTCCATGTCTATTGACTTTTTCATCGACATGAATATCAGTCCCTCGTCCTCCCTTATTAGTTGCAATAATAATATCACCTATTGTAGCAGGTTTCTTTTGAAATCTATCTTCAACATTATCTCCATCTCTTCTATACTTTTCTATCGTATGAGGAGGTACACCATGTCGAATAAGTTCATTCCAAATATTTTCTGTTGATTCAACATTTTCACAAATAATTAAAACAGGTCGCTTTGTAGCTTTTTCAATAGTTTCTCTAGCAATCAAATCAAGCCAATCTCCATATTCAATAGATACTTGATTAGATATTTGATAAAAACATTTCTTTTTCGAAGTAGGTAAATGTGCAAATTGAACTTGATATAAATCAGATAAAAAATTTTGAGAATTTTCTGAACCTAATGTTCCAGTTAAACCATAAAGATGATGTTTATATCTTTGAAAAAAAGTTTTATTTGAAATAAAAACAGCTTTTAAACTTTCAACAGATAATTTTCTTCGATATTTTAATTCTAAAAATTGTGCTAAACCATGACTCCACCGTGTAGAATATTGTTCAACTCCTGTATCTTTATCAAGTACAATAATAGTTTTTTGTTTTTTATTATTTTTTTCATCTATTTTAGATATATCTAAAACAAAATGATCATCTTCTCTCATAATTCGTGCTTGAAATGCACTATCTATCCAACGTTCAATTTTATAATTAACAAAGTCTTTCATATAATCTGGAATGAAAATATTCTTATTTTCTATATTTTGTTTTATAAATTGACAAATATCTTTAATATTTTTGGCAATTTCATCAGAATTATTTATTTCTTTTGTAATAACAATAGTCCATATATAAATATATAATATTTCAAGCCATTTTAAACTTTGAATTTCATGAGAAAGATAAAGAACATGTCTAGCTTTATCTAAACACATATTATCAGCTTCATCAACAATTAAACATTTATTTCGATTTAAATAACGTTTACCAAAAATTTTTTTATTATTAAATTCTTCTTCTAAAATATCTCTTTGAAATGCTCCAACTTCACCATAAATAATATTACCTTGACATGTATTTAAATTTGGTCTATAAGATTGATGATTAACATCATCATCTTCACTACAAATATGACTACTTTCGAGTTTTAATAATTGAAAAAATGAATGACATTTTTTTTCTCCTTCTATTGCTAAATCACGATTACTAGAAACAATATCAACAGCATTTCCACATAAAGCAAAAAATGCAGCTGTTATTCCTACAATAAGAGTTTTACCTTCACCTGTTCGAACTTGTTCAAGTAAACCTTTTTCTTTACTATGAATAAAAAGTAATAAAGCAATTATTTGATTATCTTTTGGAAATTGAGGTTTATTAGCTATTGACCAAGTATAAAGTATTAATGGAATAATATCATTTAAATGAGATCGAATATATTCTTCAGGATTATTTTGATAAGATTCAAGATTAAGTATATTTTGTATTTCACGATTAATATAAGATTTTTCATCACCTTCTAATACATTGAGATTCTTAGCTCTTTCTCGATAGATTTCTATTTCTTTAGCGATTTCTTTAAGAATTTCTTTTGAAATAACATTCGATTTATTTTTTTGTTCTTCAATCATTTGTTCAATTATTTCTTTGGCCGAACGATCAAATTTATCAGTATTAACATCACGAGATAATTTGATTTTTTCTATTTCTTTATGCCAATCAGAATAAGCAAAATTCAAAATAATTTTATTTGCTTGTTCAAAAGATATTTTTTGATAATGAATATAGTTTAATAGATCATTCAACTGTTTAATAGTTTTCTCTCCTTCAGTTTTGCCTATTTTTTCTGAAATATCTTGAAAAAAATCTAAAAACTTATTATTATTTTCAATACCTAATTGAATTCTAATGCGATTTAAAAATAATAAAGTTTTTTCAATACCATCTTGACTAAGATCAATACCACATTTATTCATTTCTCTATTAAAAATTTGAGAAAATTCTATTTCACTTAACAATGTATCCCAAACTGCTAATGAAGCATCAGATAATTGATCTAAAATTTGTCCAGTTGGAGGTATCTTTCCTAGTAAGTGTACAATAATAAGAAATTTTTCTCTAGTAATTTTTTGATAATCAGGAATAATATTGTCATTTGAATAAATAGCTTGATTTATTTGATCAATATATTGACTAACAAATATATTATTAAATAAAATTAACAATCTCTCATTTATTTGCATTAACATATTTCGAAGATTTTCTATTTCATTTTCGTGAGGAAATATCAAACAAAATTTTTCTATAATATGTTCTATTAATAATGTTTTTAACCATTCATTTTGAGATGAAGATAATAATTTTTCAATAGCTAAACGAATATCTTCAAAACAACACAAACATTGTTGTATTTTAATGAATATATCTCTTTTTATCATAAGACTACCATCGATTTCTAATCGATCATTAAATGTCTCAAGTAAACTATTAAAACTTAAAACATGATAAGGACTTATTTTCTCGAAAGAACAAGAATTTTCTTCTATATTTAAATATCCATTTAATGCTTTAAAACCATTTTCTAATTGATTTCTAAACCCTAGCTGATCATTTTGTTTATCTGTCAAAACTAATTGATAAAATTTTTTTAATTTTTCTTCTTGTAATAAAGAAACTATACGAAAAATGACTTTTTGAATATCATTGAGTTCACTATTTTTAATTGATTTTGGTTCGTTCGGAATACGATCTAATATTTCATCAGTATTTTTTTCAAAATATTCTGGAAAATGAATGATTATTTCTAACCATTTTGCATTTGAAAAATATTCAAATGCAATTTTCATATAGTTTTGTAAATAAATAATTTTTATTTCTTGATAAATAGTAGAAATCGATATGTTCAAAGATATGTATGGATCGCATTTCTCATTAGATTTATCTTTACATAACTCCTTTATCTTTAATGATAATTCCTTTAATTGTTTAATATGATTTATTTCTATATTAACATCTTCAATCTTTTCTATCAATCCGTATGTTGAAAGTGTTTGAAATAACCAAGTTAAAAAATCAATAAATTCTTCATTAATACTTCCGAACAAGTTTCCTTCTTCAAATAAAATATAAAGTAAAATCACTTGAAATTGTGCATGATCAACATTATTAACATCAGGATATAAACTATCTTTATGTGCTTGACTAATAAGTTTCATTAAACGAATTAAACTATTAAATTGATTTATTTCATTTCGTAAACTCAAAACAGAAATATGTTTATTACAGTACTTATAAAATCCTTTGTAAATCTTTTTAACATAATTTGATTTTTCATTCAATTCTTGATCTAGGAAAGTTAATATGAGTTCATAATTTTTTATTTGTTTTTCTTCCTCAGAATCAAGTTTATTGATACATTTCTTTAAAAAATCTAGTTCTTTTTCATTGAAAAAGGAATAAGATGTGATTAAATTAATTAAAACTTTTTCTTTTACATTTCTTAATATTTTCTTATCTTTAATCTTCTGTAAATTTTTAATAGTTTCATTTATATTATCATTTAATTTATATTCATATAAATTTAAAATATCAATAAAAGGTAATGCTAAATCGGATAAAATTTTTTCAATAGTTTTATCTTGTTTATGATAATTGACAAATTTTTCAAGTTCTTTTTCTAATAATTCTTTAATTGAAATATTATTTGTCAAATAATTATTTAGTTCTTTTCCAATTCTTTGATAAATTTTCTTCATAAAAAGACAAAAATCTAATTGTTCATTAGACATTATGGAATTTAATCTATTTGCTATAAGAATACGAATATCATCATCAAGATTTTCAATATCGGAAAATAATTCATCAAGTAGTTTTGATGAAATTTTCTTTTGTTTAAATTCACTGTTATGATATCGTTGGATATTTATGTTCTTTATTGTTTTTTTTAAATAATCCCTAGTGTTTTCTATATTTGTAGGAAACTGATCAATTAAATTTTTTATTTCATAGATTTCGTTATTTGGCATTGAAGAAATGTTATCTCTGAAATTACGTAAAATTTTATGAGCATTTTCAATGCCATTTTGTTTCAATAAATTATCTAATAAATTCTTACAAGCGGCATCTGCTTCATTTAATTTTTCATCTGAAATTCCTTGAAAATCTTTGAACTCCTTGAGATCTGTTAATCTTATTAAATTTATATAAAATTCATATGCATTTTCGTTCTTTTCTAATATATTTGAAAACAAACTATTGCATTCATTTACAATTGATAAGAAATTTTCTAAAGAATTTTCATTTTTGCATTGAATTGATTCGATTTCTTGTTCTTGTTTTACAATTTCTAGCTTAATTTTTTTATATTTAAAAACTATTCTTAAAAATTGAAGATTATTATTTTCTATTTTCTGTAAAATATTTTCTACAATTTGAAATATATTTTCTATTGTTTTATCTTCAAAATTATTTAAATCATCTACTATCCATCGAAAAAATCCTATTAATTTTTTATCATTTAATAAATTTTTGATATCTTGAGAATTGGAAAGATTTCGAAAGATTTCTTCAACTAAACTTGAGTCATATAGAGTGTTAAAAGCATCTATTTGTTGTTTAATTGTAAATTTTGTTTTTCTTTCATATGTTTTTGAAGAATGAAAACTTAATAATTTATGCAAATCTTTCGATTGATAGATTTCATTTAAAGATTTACTTTGATCAGACGATGGAGATTTATCTATTTTCATTTTTTCAATAATAATTGAAAAATTAAAAATAATATCATATAAATAAGATCGAGGATATTGAATAAGTATTTCTTCTATTTTCACTATTTGTTCTATTAAATTATTAAATTGATCCTTGTTAATATTCATTAAATTTAAATTATGTTGAAAAACAAAAAGAAAGTCATTAATAATATCTAATTGCTCGAAATTATCTAATAGATTTGAATAAATCTCTGTTTGATTTTCATTAAAAAATAACGAATTTGAAAATATTTGAAAAATTTCAAGTAAATTTATTGAATAACTATCATGATTAAACTTATCAATGGATTCTATTAATTTCGATCTATTATTTTGATATAAATTCTGATCAAATTCATAAAATGGAAATTCTTTTAATAAAGATGAAAATTCAAGATTAGTATCAAGTTGTTGAAGTTGATTATCATCAGCTACTCGAAGCATATTTAAAATATTTAAAATATTTTCTTGGGATTCTGTTTGATTTTCTCGAGAAAAATCTTCTTGACATTCGTATGTTTTTGTAGTCCATATTAACCAATAATGTCTAAGATATTCTCTTTGCATTCCTTTAAAAAAATCTATTAATAAATCGAAAGTATAAGTATTTTCTAATGATTGAAATCGAGGTAAAATTTCATAGAATGCTTGTTTTTGAATTTGAATCCATTGCAAACCATTTAAAGTATAATTTCCTTGTTGTAAATTATAAAGATAAGTATTAGTAAAATTTGAAATTTGATTTAAATTAATTTGTTCTATTCTATCTTGAGAAAGAATTGTTTCTAATTCTGAGAAAAAAAAACAACCAGTTTTTAAAAGAGTTTCTTCATTAGAATTTTTATTAAACTCTTTAATTATTTCAATATTAACAATATTATTTTCAATTGGAAATTTTTTCCACTCTTGTTTATAAACATTTTCTTGAATAATTTTAATATTTTGTCTATCTAAAATCGATTTCGAAAGTTCTTCTTGTGGAATGTCAACAAGTACTTCTGTATGTTTTTGTGATGCAATAAGACGTTGATTAAAACGTTGTTCATTAATAATTCTGTTAATTGTACTTCTCATCTTTGCAATCTCAACACTTCTAATCTCTAATCCTGTTTTTAGTTGATTGATATCTATTCTCTGAATTTCTTCTTGTAGTTGTTGATAAACTAATTGATATTGTTGTAAAAATTCATTGTATTGACTTAATATATCTTGTCCTAATAACTCAATCCCAATATTCATTTGATCTGTATCGATTTTTTCTGAATATAATCGTTGATTTTCTATATTAATAGCTTCAGCAAATTTTTCTTTTAAAATTAAAATTTGTTTAGCATCATGTTCAATATCAGGTAGTGCATCTACTTCACAAGGAGGTAGACCTTCTAAATTAGCCATTTTTTCTAAGAATTCATTTAGACTCGATGCTAACCAATGTTGATAAGAAGCTAGTTTTTGAGAATTTCTATACTCGTCAAAAAATTGCGTAGTTTGTTGGAAAACATCTTGATGATTGATAGCATGAATTTTTTGTACAGATTCTTGATTTTTATGTGTATGAGTCATACTAGCTCCTTTCTGCGTATCTTTATCAGTATCTTTCTTTTTAAATCTAAACCTCTTTTCATCATCTTCAAATGGAAGCATAACATAATTTTTTAATAATTTTTTCTCGTCTAAATTACGTCTATAAGAAGAGTGAAGACGACCTCCTTTTAATTGATCAATTTTTCGACTTGTAACTAAAGCTTTCAAAGGATTTATCCAATTGCTTATAGCTACATAATCAAGACCATCTCTACCATCTTTCCCAGCCTCACCTGGTTGTCCTGGTTTACCGTTATCACTTCCTGCTTTTCCTGGTAAATTTTTATATGGATTTTCTAGTAAACTATCATCGAAGGCAACAAGCTTGACTAATCCTGGATTTCCTCCTTCACCACGATATCCTCCTGAACCTGCATCTCCTCCCGATGCACCAGGCTGACCATCAGTACCAATGCGACGGCTACGATATGATTCAGCATATCCATAAAATGCCCAAAACCGTTCTAATTTTTTTTTCATAATCTCTTGATCACCGTCTCTCCCATCTTTCCCATCCGAACCAGGCGCTCCATCTCCTCCATCTTGTCCTCGTCCTCCTTTTCCACCACAAGCTGATACATCAATCTCTGGTAATTCATTCGCAACTATATAGACATGTCCTGCACTTTTTCCGGGTTTACCATCAGATCCATCTTCCCCTTTCTCTCCTTTCCTTTGTCCACTTTTTGCTGGATTATTTTCCCAAATATTTTTTGCATCTTCTCCATCTGTCTTAATAATTAACTTATCTTTATTGTTAACTAATTCTTGATACGGACTGACTAAAACTATATTTATTCCGGAATATTTCGATTTAGGTAAATCAATATCAATATAAAGTTTATTAGAATTAATTATTCTTATTTCATTATTAGGACAAAAACAATCTGGATATTTTGATTCAATAACATTTAAAATCTTACTGAGAATTCCAGAATTTGTTTTTATTTGAAAAATAACATATTCATATTTTTTAGAACTTTCTATTTGATACCAATTAATATAACTATTTAATATGTTCTTAATATTATTTACTTTTTCTTTGAAATAAGGCTTAAGAGTATGATTGTTTTCCTTCAATATTTCTTTTAATACTACAGCACATTCTTTATACTCTCCATCTAAATGATCTAAAATACATCTATATATAGACAAAGAACGATTATAATAATCATTACTCATATCATTAGAAAGAGTAATTAATTCTTTTAATTTTTGTTCCATGAAAAATCTCAAATTTGTATCTTGAATTGCTTTATAAGTAGATAATAATTGATGAAAATTTTTTTCAAAATGATTAAAAGCAATTAAAGCATTATGACGATATGTTAATAAACTTGTTGTATAATTTTCTACTGTATCAATAATAGATTGTTGTAAACATTGACTTATTTCTGTACTAGCTTTTTCATCATTATCTTTTACAAATCCTTCGCATTGTTGAATAATCTTAGTTAATTCTGTGTTATCAAAATTTTGAATAAATTTTTTTATATCATTAAAATTTTTATCTTGTTTAAGATAATTAAAAATTTCATTTTTAATTCTGCCATTAGGAGAGAAAACTTCTTGTTCCGATAAATGATCATATTTATTATTCAAACATTCTCGAAATAATTGACTAAAATTAGGTAAAAGTTTTTCAATATTAGCAAATCGACTTAACATCTTAGTCAAATCATCAATTTTAGTTTGTAAATATACAGAATGACTATGACTAATATTTTCAAGTTGTAATTTAACAGATTGAATTACTTCTGATGGTATCGAACTATTAAAAATTTCTATAACATCTTTATACATAGAAATTTTCTTCTCATAATTATTATTTTTTGAATTTAAATAACACATAGCTTGACTTGCTAATTGATTATTAGTGTTTTTATTTTTAATACTTTCTCGAATAGAATTAAGTAAAAATTTATGTAAATCTTTTTCAAAAAGTTCTATAGAAGCTAACGATTTATGTCGAAATGTTGTTAAACTATTCATATAATAATCAATTCTATGCATCATACTTTCTCGAAGATATGTTCCTATATAATGAACAACTCGTTCATCTTTATTTTTAATATATTGATTAAATAAATCAAATATGTTTTTCAATTTTCGCTTAACATCTTCAACATTGAAATCTATTTTAATATTTTGAAGTAAACCATTGATACATTTCTCAATATTATCAAAAGTTTGATTTTGATAGAAAATATGCTCATAAATATCATCTTTTAAATTCTTATTAATTGTTGGTATATCTAATAACTCATAACGATATGGTAAAAGACGTTTAAATATACGATGAAATTCTTTTAAAGAATTTTCTACTTCTTGAAAGTTTTTAATAAAATCTAAAATAATATCTAAACTTTTCTTAACCATTTGATCTGTAGCTTCAACATTTTGAGTTTTTGCATCTTCTATTACATTTTTAATATTTTTACATAATGAAATTAATTCTTCTCTATTGGAAAAAGTCTTTTCAGTGCTAAGTCGATTTTCAAGGAATTCTATAAACTCAATATAAGAGGATGATCGCGAAGAATCAGATAATTCAAAATTCGTGTTTAATTGCGTTGCAAAATCAGGATGTATCTCTTGACTAATTAAACTACTTTTTTCTGTCATAATTGAAAGTATTGCATGATGTAATCTATCTTCAAAAATTTCAAAATATTGACTTAGCTTTTCTTGAAAAGGTAAAGAATTTAAAGAATATTCTTTAAGAGTTGCAAACATAATATCTACTATTGAATTAACTTCAAAGTGTTCTCTTTTTATTTCTTCAGTATTATCTCGAGTTTTTTTAATCTTATTAATACACTCTCTTATTTCACTATGATTTTCTGTTTCACTAATTTTACTAATACAATCGTAAATTTCATCAAATGTTTTAATGTTAACGAAATTTTTTTCTAAATCTTCAATACAATTATTATTTTGTTTAGTCTCTATTGAATTTAAATATGAACTAATAGTCTTTACAAAGAGCTCTTTAAATTGTTCAATTACTTTAAATGTTTCTTGTTGCGGAGCTTCTTTCTCAATATGTTTTGAAATGGATATATTCTCTGTACTTTCAATAAACCATTGTTTAATTTTTTCAATATTTTCTTTGCTGGAAAATTTTTGTTTATCGAAAAATTTCTTCAAAAATTCCCAATGATTATTATCACAAGCCCATTGACATGCAGCTGCATTAAAATATGCATGTAATAAACTATCTTCTGACATTAATTTTTGTTTTGGACATCGAATAAAATTAAGTTTATATATACATTGATCACTAACTCCAGTAAACCATTTTAATTTTTTTAAAATACGTTTTTCAAAAGTAGAATTTAGAATATAAATATATCTTAAAAAATAATTTTCATTATTATATATTTCATTTTCAATAAATAGAGTTATGTAATGCTTATGTGATAGTTTTACTATGCAAGAAAAATTGTTTTTACGATCAGATTGAATTCGTGTTTTTAAATCTTTTGCATGATCAATTTTTCTTAAATCATAAATTCTAATTCCTTTATTTAATGAAATTTGTTGATCATAAATAATTTTCGACATTGGTTCTAGAAAATATTGTTCAGAAGATGAATAAATCTCATAACTATATTCTTTATATATTTCTGATAAATGATTTAATATTCGAGATTCTTTACTGAACAATTTATTATTATTATTATTTTTGATATCATTTGGTAAGATATTTTTTAAATAGATTTCTAAAGGTTTTAATTCATTTTTTTGGTCAATAAAACCTTCGGACACTCTGCCATAGGCTACTTCTCCATAAAAATACCATCTATTTAATTTCATTTCTGTAGCAATTTTTTCTATTTCATTTCTACTTTCCTGATCTATAAACTTTTCTTCGTTAATCAATCCAGGGTTTTCAACTATTCGAACATTTTCAACTACAATATTCTTTAAACCATCAATTCTACTGTCCTTAATCCAAATACTATCTTTCAAAAAATAACCCTTATAACCATTTCTCTCTTGAGTTTTTGTAAGAATAATTGCATTTCCAGATATTTCAGGAAGATTTTTTTCATCAAAATTTAATATAAAATAAAGATCACATTGAATTAATAAGAAAAGATATTTTCTTTCATAAGGATTATTTTCATTAAATGTATTGTTATCGATATACCATTTTTGAAAAAATTTTTCTTTATTATTTTGATTATAACAAAATTGCCAATCAATATTATAAATAAAATTAAATGAACGTTGTAAATCTTTAATTTGATCAATATAAGGAAGAATATCGGAGAAAAATTCTTTTTCATTTATTCTATCATTTAATTTTCTAATGGCAGAACCCGAACAAAGTGGAAATAAACTTAAAGGAAATTGCTTTTTATCTAGTAAAGTTTCTGAATGATGATTTAATTCACAAGAAGAAGAAAATTCTTGTAAAAATTGATTTTTTTCTCGTAAAAAATAATCAACAACTCGATTATAACGTTCTTGAAGTGGTTCATGTCCTATAAACTCATAAGCTTTTGCTAAAAATTCACAAGAATGAATAATTTTTGTTCGTTTACTTTTTAAAATGAATTGATCATTAATAAAAAGAATTTTTTTTAAATTTTCATTAAGATTTACAAAAATATTTTTATCTCCTAACATATCAAGTAATTCACTGAAGAAAAGATTTGTAGTTTTATTAGAATAAATATGTTTTAAAAATTGACTTAAAATTGAATTTTCATAAATATTCAATTTAAAAATTTCTTGAACTTTTTTCGGAATCCAAAACCAACTTTCCCAATGATTTTCTTCTTCTTCAAGATTATAAATAAATAAAATCGATTTGTTATCACCTACACACTGATTTTTTTTCCATTCTTCAATTTCTTTCCTATAATCTGAAATATTTCCAGACTTTTTAACTATAAAATATTCTATATCATCTTCTTGTGGTAATAATAGAACAGTTTCAAACTCCATAATTTGTCTTAATCGAAGAATTAAATCTTTTCTTAATTCATATTCATTTAATTTATATTGAAATTCTTGTCCAGTGATATTTCTTAATATATCAATATAATATTCAGCTTGATCAATAGAACCTATTTCTAAATTACATTCAATTATTTCAGATATAACTTTAACTATAGCTGATGGTAAATTGTTTATATCCAAAGTTTCGAACCGATAAGTAGTACTACAAGTTTCAGTATTTCGAGAGTCATTTTCTTTTTCTTTTATATTACGAGCATCCAAAATTTTTTTTTCTAGATCTTGTTCAAGTTGTTTTCTTTTTCTTTTTAATGCGTAATAATTTACATTAATAGATGCACGACCGCGCTGTAATTGTGCTGTTTTAGTGATATGTTCTATTTGTTTCGTATTTGTTTTAGTTTTTATAACTAATCCACTCTTTATGCCCTTAAGATTAATATTTTGAATTTGAATAGATTTTAAATTTCCTCCATCATCTATAATCCAAAGTCCATTCTCTACAAAATAACTAATATATTCATTAGAATTTCTAGTTTTAACAAGTATGATTGCATTTCCGGGAATTTCCGGTAAACTATTTTGTTGAATATCTGATCTTAAATATAGATCGCAAACTGAATCTAAAAGATATTTAGCCTCTTTTACAATATTAATCTTATTAGCTATTTGCTGTTCATCACTAAATTGTTGGATAGACTTTTCTAAATATATCTTTACTGATAAAAAATTATTTTTAACGAAATTTTGACTATAATATTTATAGTTCGCATATGCAATATCATAATAAAGTTTAGCAATTATATCTGTATAACTTAATACTTGTCCATTTCTTAGACGATCTCGAAATAAATGACAATATTCACTTATTTCTTCTGATAATATTATAGCTTGCTCTTTTAATGCAGCAAGTTGTATTTCTTCTTGAGTACTAAACTGATTGTATTCTTCTGAAATTTCTTCTTTACTTTCTTCAATAAGATTTATCATAATTTAATTTTTTGAATTTCTCAAACTATTTATAAAAAATTTCAATATCTTACCGTCTTCTTGTCATCATTTCGTAATACGTACCATGTAGAATGTTATAATTACCATTTAACAGAAAATTAAATTATTGTACTTATACCTTTCAAATTTTAAAATATAAGATTATTTTACAAATGAATATGCAGTATACAATGTAAGTGATTCAGTCAATAATATTTATCTTAAGCCATAGACATTTCATCTTTATTCTATGCAATAATCATATCATAAACAATATTTTTATATTGACTTTTTTGTTTTTTTTTTCTGTAGCTTACATACTCTGCCAATAGATGAAAAAAAATAGAGCATTTTTTCTTTTTCGTCTGTAGATAATATCGTTTTTATCTTAATACTCTTTCTTTCTATTGATCTTTCTTCTTAGAACTTTCTGTATAGATTAGATAAATATATGCACAAAATAGAGATAACAAAACAGACACCGACGATATTTTGGATATGTCATTATTGAAAAAAATCATTTGTATTACATACTTAATATTTACGTGTTAAATATTCATATATTTTCAAAATTTCAAAAGTAGATGCAATAATTTAATTTTATGTTAAACTGTAATTATTATATATTATATGGTATTATAAAGTGTTGACACAAAAAAAAAAGGTAAGATTTTGATGCATTATTTTATTTTTGATTTATATTTAAAAAATTCTTTTAAATAAAGTTTAGTGTTTTGTTGCTTGCATAATCTTTTATTAGCATAATATATTATTGTATATATCAAGATATAAACGTTGAATCAAGTAATAAAATAAGAAGAAATGATGACAAATCGTGAAGAAGAAAGAGATTTTAGTGATAAAAACCTATCATTAAATTCTAATTTAAATCCTGTAAATATTGAAAGTAAAGAAGGAGAAAAGAAATATCGTCTCGAAGATATAAGATCTATTAAAATATATCCTAAAAATGATGATGAGTATAGTAGTAATGATGAGAATGATATATCTGATATAGTATATCTACCTGAAATTTCAAGTATTAAAAGAAAAGAAGATAAATTTTATCAACAATTTTTACCGATTGGTAACGGAATTTACAATGGTACAATTAATAAAGAATTCTTACGTGAAGGACAAGGAACATATAGTATTAATAATGGAGAAGAATATTATTCTGGTTCATGGAAAGATGATAAACCTGATGGATATGGTTTTAATTTAAAAAATCATGGTACAATTATTTATTATGGTGAATTTCAAAAGGGAATACTTAAAGAAGGTTATGGAAAAGAACAATTACCCAATGGATATGAATATGAAGGTAAGATTAAAGATGAAAAATTCCATGGTCTTGGAAGTTTATCAATTAAAGTAAGTGGTCTGACAGAAATAAATCAATCGGGTATAGAAAAAGATATTCTTAAACTTGTAGCTGAATGGAAAGAAGGAAACATAGAATTTATTTATATAAATGATATTGAACAATATTATATAAATCAATATGAAAGTTTTTGTAATAGTTTAGAATCTATACTTTTATTAAATAATAATGAATATCAACAAAAACAAAGAGAATATCTTCTAAATTTTATTGATTTATTTGAAAAACGTCTTTCAAATCTTAATTTATTAAATGAAATAGTTACTAATCCTCATCTACCTAGAGTATTAAAATCATCAGCTGATCTTTTATTTAAATTAGATCATAGTTATACAAATTTAAATAAATATACGAAAACAGATACAAAAAAAAATTATAATGATTATATTAATAATATATGTCAAAGAGGTTTAAAAAACTATGCTCGAAGATTATCATGGTCTGAAGATGAAAACAATATTTATTGTATTTCATCAAAAATTATCTTTGATAATAGTTTAGATAATTTTCTAATTAAATCTCAATTATCTGATTTAAAAGAAATACTTCATTTTAATCCATATATTATTGATTTAATTAAAAAATTAATACGTTTTGCTAATGAAAGATTAATTCGAATTTCTTCTGAATATCGAACACAATTTATTGAAATTCATACAAAATTTTTACAATATATATGGAAAAATTATTTTCAAAATTTAGATTATAATTCAATTCCTCATAGATTCGATTATGAAAATAATGAAAAATATTATTTTTATTCAAATTGTTATTCAAATTTATTAGAACTTTCATTATTATATGAATTTGAAATTGAAATTGAAATTGAATCAAAAAAATTAGAAGAAAATTCTACGAATAGTTCTATTATAGTAAAACTTAATGGAGAAAATGTTTTTCATAAATCATTAAATGATAATCAATCAAATATAAATGTTATTGTCTTTGATCAGAAAATTGCTATAAAAAAATTAGAACGAGTTTTCAATACAGAAAAAACTGATCTTATTCAATTTATTCTAGAAGATGTTGATCCTAATGCTATTGTGGTTTTTATTTTATCATATCATTCAATGAAGAATTTAAGTTCTGATATTAAGAACTTTTTCAAGAAGTTAGGTAGTATTAGAATCAATAGATTAAAAGAAAATATGACTTGGGTCTTTATGAAAAAGATAAATGATTCGCAAATATATGAAGATATTAGTTTCAATGATGAACAAAGAATATTAATAAAAGAAAATTTTCAATTTAAATTAAATGAAAATATTTTAGTAGATGAGAAAATTAATAAAAATCATATTGAATCAATTATCTATAAAGTAATGAAATTTTCTTTAAATAATTTTAAACCATGGTTGAATATTGAAGTTAAGAAATGGTCTGAATATTTAAATCAACCTATTCATCAAAATATTTCTATTAAAGAGATAGGAGATAAAATTTTACTTAAAGTTTTGCAAGATTCTAAAAATCATATTTTGAACTCTTTGAAAGCAAAAAATCCATTTCATCATATTATAAATATGAACGATAAATATTTAAAACAATTTTCTGAGCATTTAGAATCATTGATAGTTTATTATCAGGATAGTTTATTGAAAGATAAGAATTTCAATTATCAAAGTAAAATGAAAGAGATTAAGAAAATAGTTGATTATTTTTTACAAATTTCAATAAATAAAAATTCTAAAATTCGAGATATAACTGAATTACAGTTAGAATCAATTAGAGAATTTATTGAAGGAAAACAAAGTATTACAGAAGTTATTGATCATTTTCTTAATTTTAATGTAGAATTTTTCAAATTATTTCAAATTTTTCAAGAAAAATTTTCGTCCGAATTACATTCCGAATTTCATAAAAATGCTTCAAAAATCATATCTTTAATAATAGATATTTTTAAATTGATTCTTCAACCAGAAAAAGAAGATACGAGAAATTACTCCGACGTATTAAAGAAATATAAAGTTTCTAATTTAGGAGCTGCTTTGCGAAAATCAGTTTTTGAAGAAGAAATGACTGATATTAAAATTTTATTAGAAGCAAGTGCAGACATCAATGAGCAAGATGATGAATCTAAAAAAACCGCTTTACATTGCGCAGTTGAAAGAGAGAACAAATATATTATTTCATATCTTCTAGAAAAAGGTGCGAATATAGAAATAAAAGATAAAAACAAGCTAAGTCCAGTTGATTATGCTCATAAATATGGAATCGATCTCAATTCTTTATTATATAATATTCAAAATAATAAAAAAGATAATCTAAATAAATTTGAAAATAAGTTATTTGCTATGCAAAAAATAAATAATTTTCTAACTAATTTAGGATCATTAGATATGAATTGGTTTGTAGAACGACAACAGATTAATAATTTTGATCCCATTTTATTTAAAAAAGTCGGAGAAAATGATATTTATAAAGTTTTACAAATCAATAAAGCAAAAAAAAACGTAAATAATCCATGTTCTCATTATGTGTTAGAGACAATCATAGAATTATTAGAAATTATTAAAAATGTAAAGATAATTAATCAAGCAAGTTTCATAGAAATGATTAAATTGAGAGCGGAATTAATAATGGCTATAGGAAAATCATTTAAATATTTTAATGACCAAATAAAATATAATAGTTTATCAAAATTTAAAGAAGATTGTGTTATACCATTTAAATATGTAACAATCGATAATGAATCTTATGAAATATTTTATGATAAATTAGAAAAAATTGATTTATATTTTTTATACAATAGAAAACTAAAAGAAATAACACTTGATCAAGCTTTAAAATTATTTCAAGAAAAAAATGATACTTTGTCAGGAATTGATAAGATTAAAAATGCATTTTTAGAATATGAACAATTATTTAGAAAGTATTTCGATGATATTATTAATAAAAAAACTTCGATTAAACATATAATTGAAAAGACTAAAAAAATTGCTAATAAATCGAATTTTAAAAAAGAAACTATTCCAACTATCATTGCTGGATTATCAATTGTATTTTCTTTAATGGTCTCTGATTTTATCGAAAAACATCATGGAGAATATGTATTAAAAGACAAATATAATAGAAATTATTTATTACAGCCTCATTGTATTCAAATTCTTGGAATATTAATGCTATTAGATATTGATGGAAATACGAATTCATTACCTCCTAATCATCTTGCTGAAATTTTAACTGGACAAGAAAAATCTTGGACATTAGCTCTTTTAGGAGGATATTTTAGTTTAATTGGATATCAAGTTACAGTTAGTTGTTATAGTAATTATTTATCTCGAAGAGATGAAAATGATTTTAAAAAAAATTTAGAACCTTTTAATTTTACAAATTATGTTAAATATAGAACATTTGAAACAATGTGTGATGAGAAATTATCTAATAAGAATAGTAATAAAACTTTAAGGAATATAGTTTCAGACATTATATCAGGAGAAAAATTATCTCCTATAAATATTAAAAAAAATCAAGAAGAAAAATCAATTCTATTAATTGATGAAGTTGATGTATTTTTTTCACATCAATTTGGTAAAATGTATAATCCAGTAGTTACAATTAAGAATAAACATATTGCTCAAATTCAAAAAGATATTTGGGAATACATAATGACTAATAAATCTGATGAAAGTCAATTGAAAACTCTCTTTGAGACAAAATTATTTAGTTTAATTGATAAAGATAAACTACTATCATATTTAGCACATTCAAATATATTAAAAAATCATTTAGAAGAGATGATCAATACTGCTCTAAATATTCATAATAATATAAATAAGTTTAAAGATAAATTTAAAATCATAGATAATGTTATAAGTACTAAAAATTTAGATGGAAAATATTCAAATATTATTTATCAATATGAAAATAGTTTTTATTATTTAAAATTAATGTATGAAAAACAAGAAAGTTTTAAAGAAGTTATTTTAAATGAAAATAATTTTGGATATATTGTGATTAATTGTGGAAATATTTCTTATTCTGAATTACCAAATTCTTTTAATGGAATATTTGGTGTTAGTGAAAGTTTAAAAGATTTATCTGATGCAGAAGAATCTTTATTAAAACATTATAATATTCATAAAAGATCTTATTGTCCATCATTTTTTGGTAAATCAAAATCAAAATTAAATTTTAATAAAAATAATGATTTTATTATAAAAAATTGTAAAAAAGATTGGTTTGATAATATTGTTACTAATACTCGAAAAAAAATTGCTGAACATCGATCTATTTTAATATTTTTTAAAAATGAAAAGATTCTTGATGAATTTTATAATTCTTATTCAGAAGATTTAGGTGTTATACCATTTTTTATTACTCAAAATAGAATTTTTGATAGTAAAGAAGAAAAAGATTATAGTGATAATAATGTTAATAAATTAATTACAGATGAATATGCTGGACATCATGGAAAAGTTACTTTATTAACTAAAGAATTTGAACGTGGTGTTGATTTTCAATCAGAAACAAAAGTTAATGAAAAAGGTGGTATTCATGTTATTCAAACATTTTTTTCTGAAAATATTAAAGAAGAAATTCAAATTAAAGGACGAACAGCAAGAAAAGGTGAATTAGGTAGTTATGAATTAATTTTATGTCTAGAACATCTTCAAGAATCTGAATTTGAAGGAGGAAAAACTCCAAAATATAAGGCTATAACAAATGATACAACTTATGATGAATTAGATAGTCAAAGAAAAGAAAAAACTAATTCTTTTTGTCAAGATAAATTAAAACAAATTGAAAAAAATCAAGAAATTCATAATCGTACATTAGCATTTTTTCAAAAGGCAATAAGTGAATGTAATGATGAAAATCGAGAGATTTTTATTCAAGAAATTATACAATTAAGATCATAAATTAGTAAATTTTTTGTATAGAGCTTAATAATTCATTGTCAAAAAAGTCATATTTAGAAAAAAAAATCTATTAATTAGTTTGATTTCGAAATTGAAGAGAGAAATAAAATATCCATTCATAATTTTATAAAGCTGTAGCATCAAAATAAAGAATACTAACTATTACTTTTGCATGCGCTCTTCTTTTTCTTTTCTCTTGCAGTGTCATATGTACATTGTCTTTCCTAATAAATCTTATATATATTTTATCTTTTTGTTCAATACTAATTTTTTTACTTCAATTGTTCTCTTTTATGTGTTTGTTGATTTTTTCTAATAAAATGTGTGTCATGTTGTATTATTGTACAAAAGATGTAGTAGTGTCTCGGAGTGGAATAATGTCATATCAGTATACTGTTTGTCAATTCAAGATCATGAACATCTTTTTTTTTTGTTCATAATTAATTCATCAAAATAGCAAATTGGTGGGTGCAATCAACAATTATATGTATTCATGGATGGAATTTGATTAAAAGCATCTTACATAATTGCATTCATGATTAATCCATTGCTGAAAATTTACTACAATCGACTAATATCTAATCATTTATGTATTAATGAAATATGATGGAAATGATGAAAAAAAGTATTTTTGTTCCAAAATACACAATAAAATTAACGATTATGTATTAGCATGTAATTAATATCAATAAATCAATATTTTAATGATAAAAAACCATCTGTTAAATTAAAACCTATAGAAGCTTCAATTCAAAATTTTGATATAGATGGCTTTAAATTAGCATGAACAAATTTCATAGTAAATCAATAGATACATATGCTTATCTTAGTGTGTACAAATTATTTTTGACATTATGATTTTATTTAAGGAATAGTATATTGCATGGTTGTAATGCACTTAAATTATTGATGACAAAAAATATCTTACAGCACGGCGTGCCTAAACGGTTGCTCACCAATTGTTATAATCATTTTGTATTCTGTATTTTTTACGTCAACACGTTAATGTGTGGTTTAGTTACGTGACAACCATAATTTACGATCCAAAATGAAATAGACTCATCGAAATATTCAACGCGTCACGCTTGTCAAATCGGTAGCAAATATTACGTCATATGTACTTTTCCGCTCTGTTACACTGACACGTACTTTTTCAATCTATTATCGGTATCCTCTTCTTTTAAATAATAAATCTTTTTACTCTCTCTGAGATGTTTTTCTTTGTTGCGCTTAGAGCTTATCACATCCAACATACTGTTAATAAATTTGCTGGTTTTTTTTTGTAATAAAAAAACTTGTCAGCGCAGCCCTTTTTGAGTTAGAATGTGAAGTTCACATCTTATATTTACCATCATTATACTGACATAAACTACGTATGGTAACAAAACTCTAACAGACAATTGTTGCTCTTCGATAGTCAGAAATTGTCGATGAAATTCTATCTCTTATTTATTTCTGTAGTTCGGATATATTTGTGGTTGTGCAAAAATTCTGGTCACAATATTTAAAGAACGCCATCGAATAAAGTGATCTATTCAGAAATGAAAAAGCAAATACACCATGTTGTGGAACTTTTCTAGGCACGTCGAATGGTATATAATAAATCCTGTTTTCATAGAATTTTGAAAGAGCTAGAATCAATTTAGCAGTAGATGATTACACGCTCACACCCAAGCATGTTAACTTAAAGCCCTCGACACGTTAGAAGATTCCCCTTCCTCCCTCCATCCCTTCAATCAACACTGCAACAGACATATTCGAAGATGCTTCCTCAAAAAACTGATATTTTAAGATAGTTTATGAAGTTTATTGATTTTTTTAGTATTCAAGTCGATAATTATATCTAAATTCAATACGAAAAATATTTTGGTTCCGTCTTTATAGTGAAATGTCAAATCCAAGCAAGTAAATTCTTGAGAAGCAATCAATAGGAAAGATCTATGTATTAAAGATTGCGTCTCTCTGTTAAAAATATCTCGTGGAGTCATTTTAATACTTCTTTACTGCTTACTCTAGAAACATCCTTCAGTTTCTATGCACGAAAAACACGCTTGCACGGTCATAGGGTCTAATAAACAGAGTGTATCTTTGGGCATATAATATAGAAAGAGTTGTGCGGTGTGGGTGTTGGTGCAAGTGAAAGTGTGTGTGGGTGTGTGAGTTTTTGTCTTCAGGATTCACACCCACACTCACATCCACACTCCACACCCCATCCATCCATACCCACACCCACACCCACACCACACACCACACACCACACACCCACACCCATACCCACACCCTCAAGTTTTAAGTTCGAGGTTTGGCGGCTCCCCCCACCCTCCCCTTACAGACAGGCCCCCATTACAGACCATAGCAACGGAGAAAGAGAACATTACAGACATATCCCCATTACAGACAGGCGCCATTACAGACACCCCCATTATAGACACTCCCCATTACAGACAACTCCTCATTACAGACCTTAGCAATTAAGGATAACAGGCGTCAGACTTTCAATTTTTTTTTGAAAAATTGATCAAGTTATAATTTTGAAAGATAATCAACATCACTGTTTGTGAGCTGATTAATATATATAATAGTGCATAAGAGCTTCTGTAGATAGCATGGATATGTGAAGCAGATTTATTTGCTGATTAATTCAATGATTATAATAATAAGAATGTTGAATTACCAAAAAACGAATAAAAAAAAAAAGAAAGATAATGAGCGAATAGCAACAATGCAAAATAAAAATAGGGCGCTCTCAAACAAAAAAATTTTCTGTTTTAAATGTAAAAATAAATAA